CCAGAAAGGGACGTACACCGCTCTCTCTCTCTCTCTCTCTCTCTCTCTCTCTCTCTCTCTCTCTCTCTCTCTCTCACACACACACACACACACACACACACACACACACGGACTTGTAAATTAATTATCCCCACTACTTTCTTCAAAATATGTTAATAGTACCCTTGATTTATGTTCTACAACTGGAGAAGATTTATTTTATGACAGGTAACCAGGGAAGGGGGAAATGCAGAGACCTAGTCCCCTCTCCATTCTGTTCAGACTCATAGATATATATTGGGTGCCTCTATGCCAGACCTGGGCAAAGTGCGGCCCGAGGGCCACATACAGCCCGCGAGCCGCTCCTGTCCGGCCCGCGGACAGTTTTGAACATCAAAAGCATTTATAGCTTTTGTCTAAAGTTGATCAATTGCTTATCTTTAGCATACCGCAAAAAACCTCTTTAGTATTTGTGAAGATTAACACGTTTAAAATAAAAACAACAATAACACCATTGTTTCATTTTATTTTAAAGTAAAGTTGGTTCGGCCCCAGAACACAGTTCAGATTTTTCATGTACCCCCCATAGAAATTAATTGCCCACCCCTGCTCTATGCAGAAGAGACAGAAGCAAATGGAGGGTTTTGGGATAGAGGTAACACACGGAGGGGAATTGAGGTCCCCAGGGAGGGAAAACTCTCATTTGTTAAATTAAAATAACACTTCCGAGGACAAACCTTGTAACAAACTTTGCTCTGAGTGACTCGCCTTTTGGCAAGAAGCAAGAGCCTGCTCCTCCTTCGCTAATTGTTACATCCATTCAGTAAACAGAGCTCTGGGCCCAGTAGAGAAAATATTGCCATTTTTGGAAACTTTCCTCAGGGGTAGGCAAAACAGTCCTGTAGTCATAGCTGCTGTCTAGGAACACGGATAAAATGCTGAGGCAACTGTGGGATTGTGGAGAAGTGACGTATTGCCCTGAGCCAGTCTTTTTTCTTTCTTTCTTTTTTCTCCCAGTCACATTATATACAAGACTGGCAAGCATGTTTTGGCATGAGGCCTTGCGGTACAGCCCTCACACTCCCACAATGATCTCCTTTAAGGAACAGCCAGTGATATATGAGGCCCAAGCCCTGAGATACACAACGGAGGCAAATACTTCAGATAAATCAGAGAAGAACTATGGGAATCCTGGGCTTTCTAGTTAATCTATTTATTTACATTCCCTGTAACTCTATCCCTAGCTGTAGAAGGAATGCTGACCTCTTGTGAAAAAAATGTATTGGTTAATTACATGTGGGATTCTCACAGGACTATTTTTCACTGAGATAGAAAACTGCCTGGGTTGTGACATTTCAAACTGCAGGTGAGGGCTTGTACGATTTTATGTACATCTGTACAAAACATCTAGAAAATTAACTTCAGGAGGAAAGTGTCAAGTCTAACTTTCCCCCTTCGTCTGCTGCACAAGGACAGGGATTTTTTGTTCCTTTGTTCCCCCTTCAGTCATGTGAGCCCCACCTACAGTTGGAAGTGGTCCAGCTCCAGATAACGGCAGTTAATTGAGAAATTAGCCCCAGTGTGAAGCACAGCATTGAACCTGACACTAGGAGCACAAATCCCCAAATGGGATTACAGACCGCCAGAATGGGGACAGATCTAACTTTTCCTTTAGTGGCCACTTGGTCTACAGAAATGGCAGGCAAAACTGTAAGTGTTGTCACTTGTTCCTCAAGTTTAGGGTATCAGCTGGCATCTCAGGATGAGCAGAACAGAAGGAAGAGGCAGTTTTATTTTTGTTTCAGGTGGCTTTAAGCCTGGGGAGCCAGGTTCACCCACTTCCAGCTGACACCAGGGCTCACTGGCTCAGTGTGAATATATATATGCTACAGTTGTGCACACCAATAGGTTGTGCTTATTGGTGTGCCAATAAGCCAGGAGTAAGAGAAGGGGATTAGTGAGTGCTAACACTTGGACTTTTTGTGTGCTTTGAACCAAAGCAGGAAGTAAGAGTACTACTGGTGGTATTCATTAGGTTTTTGTATCATGCATGTGTACACACTTTTGCAACTACCTGACAACCCTAAGGTAAAGGTTCCCCTTGACATTTTCAGTCCAGTCGTGTCTGACTCGAGGGGGCGGTGCTCATCCCGTTTTCAAGCCATAGAGCCAGCGCTTGTCCAAAGACAGTTTCCCTTGTCACATGGCCAGCGTGACTAGGGAACGCCTTTTTTACCTTCCCACCAAGGTGGTACCTATTTATCTACTCGCATTTGCATACTTTTGAACTGCTAGGTTGGCGAGGAGTTGGGAGAAAGCAACGGGAGCTCACTCCGTTGCGGGGATTCGATCTTACGACTGCTGGTCTTCTGACCCTGCAGCACAGGCTTCTTCGGTTTATCCCGCAGCGCCACCACGTCCCTATACCTGACAACCCTACTTGCTATTAATAATTGCTATACCTGAAACTGCTTTGAAAGGAGCAGGGGCAAGTAAGTTGGTTTCAAGTCCCATATTTGAAATATGAAACAA